AGAAAAAAAATTAAAACAATTAAAACCCATACGTACAAGTTAGCAGGCAGAGAGAGGGGGCAAGCTTGAGAGTTGAGAGACAGCGGCTGAAGCTTGCGAACGGCGAACTCGAACTGGAACAGCGGGTGATGGAAACTGAAAGATATGGGTTTTGAACTTCTGATTCTTGTTGATTTTGTAGTTTGCAGTTGTAGAGAGAGAGAGAGAGAGAGAGGGGGGGGAGCAATTTCAGAGTTGAGAACGAGAATAGAGATGGAGGCGATTGGGGAGGCGATTGGGGAGGCTGAAATGATTTGCCCTAAAAATATATATGGCGATTTGGGAGGCTGAAATGATTTGCCCTAACTATATATATAATAATAATAATAATAATAATAATAATAATAATGATAATATAATCAAATATATATAATATACATATATGTGTATTGTTGAGGGTGAAATTCACGCGGTCCGATACGATACCGTTTTTCTGCAAGGAAGAGAGGAGAAGATCGATGAACCTTGACGGCACCGGTGTGGTGCCTGCCAAGAGCTCTCCGACGGTCAAGTTAGTCACCGGAGGTCTAAAAAGAAGGCAGGAATTTAATAATGGTTTTTTCGTCATACCTTATTCCCAAATCGTCGTCCTATTTATCGTCGCTTCCCTTATTCTTGATAAGAGAATTTCATCATCCTCATCCCATGGGACTTATCCCATGGAAATATTATCCTTGATAAGATTTGTCATCATCCCCATGGAAGTCTTATCCTGCATAAGATTTGTCATCATTTTTATCCATGGAAATCGTTACCTCTAATAATAAAATATTATCGTTGATCACCGAAAAGATCTGGCCTCAAGATATGTTTAATTTTTCCTATCAGTTGCCCCCCATTCCCAAGCTTGCTCGTCTAGCTTTGGGAATGTAAGATTTTTTTTTTTTTTTTGCCCCCAGCACTGTTCCCGAGGGAACAGTGCCCGCGGGTACTGTTCATTGAACAGTAGAATAATTTTTTTTTTCCTGCCCTGGGAATAGTACTCGCGGGTACTGTTCATATGAATAGTAGAATAACTTAATTTAATTTAATTTAAATTTTTTCCCCTGCCCTGGGAACAGTAGAATAATATATATATATATATATATATATATATATATTCTGCCTTAGGAACAGTACCCGCGGGTACTATTTATATGAACAGTAACATTTTTTTTTTTTGGTACGCTTCCCTTGGGTACTGTTCCCTTGGGTTCTATTTTTGGTACCTTTGGGTACTCTGCCCTGGGTACTATTCTTAGTACCCTTGAGTATTCTGCCCCTGGGTATTTTTAGTACCCTTGGGTAATCTTCCCCTGGGGTGCTCTGCCCCTGGGTACTAGTTTTACTCAGATCGTCACTTCTTTAATAAGTGAATTGAACTTTATGAGCTTTACTCAACTCACCCCTTTAGTAAGGAATTTTTATTTACTATCCTTTATTGTAAGGGGATATTATTTACGGGATTCATTCAGCCCGGGTCTTTGAAGTACAGGACGCTCATTTATTATCCCTTATATTACAGGGAAATGGATTACGGGATTCATTCAGCCCGGGTCCTTATAATACAAGACACTAATTTATTATCTCTTATAGTACGGGGATACGGATTACGGGATTCACTCAGTCCGGGTCCTTATAATACAGGACACTTATTTACTATCCCTTATAGTACGGGGATACAAATTATGGGATTCACTCAGCCCGGGTCCTTATAATACAGGACACTCATTTACTATCCCTTATAGTACGGGGATACGGATTACGGGATTCACTCAGCCCGGGTCCTTGTAATACATGACACTCATTTATTATCCCTTATAGTATGGGGATACTGCACGTATAAAGATAATTGACCAAGAGTCAAGGCAACTGAAAAGAATTTTATTAAAGACCATCATTGCGTCAAGGCTTATTAAAAATAAGATACCACGTGAGGGAGCTAACCTCCATTTAAAATGATTAACTAAGATGCCCCCAGTCTTTATTGTGAATGACTTGATAAGGGTAATTCCAGCCGTGAGATAATTTCTAGTCGGTATACTCATCTGAGTCCTTCTCATGATATGTGTTATCACTCTGGCTGAAGAACGATCTCTTATATTTGGTATTATTTTCATCCCTGGCGAGAGGGGCTGGCCTCTTCTTGTCCTCTCCTTCCTTCCGTGCACTCATGGTGTCTTCAGCGTTGATGTATTTTTGTGCTCTGATCAGCAACTCTATCGTGCTGGTGGGAGGTTCTTTTGATAAGGAGAACAAGACTCTGGAGGTTTGGAGTCCTCCTATGAAAGCGGTCAAAGCTACTTTGTCGTCCACTTCTTCAACCTGTAACATCTCTGCGTTGAATCGGGTGATGTATTCCCGAATCGACTTTTCCTTTTGTTGCTCCACGGTAAACAGGTAGGTAGCTGGCCTCCTATGCCTCTGACCTGTAATGAAGTGGCTCACAAACTGCTTACTCAGTTCTTCGAAGGTGTTGATGGTTTTTGGCTTTAGCTTGTTGAACCAAACTCTTGATGATTCCTTAAGTGTAGTGGAAAAGCTCGGCACATGATTTTGTCTAGCACAACGTGTAAATGCATAAGAGCTTGAAAAGTTTCCAGGTGATCGAGGGGATCTTTGGTCCCATTGAAGCTTTCGAACGAGGGCATTCTGAACTTGCTAAGTAGTGGATATTTCATAACGACGGGGCTGAACGGCAAGTTGGTCATTTGTACCAGGTCATCTACGGCGGCAGGACATTTCCCTTTCAGAGCCTGCATTACATCTTCCATTTTAACTTTGAGATCTTCGATCTGCAGGTCGAGATAGGTAACTTTCTTTATCTTTTCCTTAAGACAGAAGGCTGTGCTTTCAGGAAGTCGGGAACTCCGTGGGAGAGATGGGTGGACCACCCTTTATGTCGGGTTCCTATCTGGCTTTGTTCCACTTCAGTCTTATTTTAGGGAGGATGATTATCTTGCTCTTCAAGATTCCTATTCCCTCCGTTTGGATTTAAGAAATCTTGTCGATCGTGGCAAGTTTTGTTGAACTGGTGGAACAAGATGTTGCAGGAGTGCTGCATTTTGCTGGATCAACTGGTCCATACCCTGACTCAGAGTTTGGACCTGCAGTTCCAATACTGCAAGCCGTGTCTGGTCGTTTGGGACGTTCAGGTTTTCACCCGACTCTACCCTTCCCTGCGACGGTGTTCCTTCGGTAACCATACTGGACTGTAAACGTATATACCCAACAGAGTAATTAATTGATTCAAGGGAATCGTCGTTTCCCACAGATGACGCCAACTGTTGAGGGTGAAATTCACGTGGTCCGATATGACACTGTTTTCCTACAAGGAACAGAGGAGAAGATCGATGAACCTTGACGACACCGGTGTGGTGCCTGCCAAGAGCTTTCCGACGGTCAAGTTAGTCACCGGAGATCCAAAAAGAAGGCAAGAATTTAATAGTAGTTTTTTTGTCATACCTTATTCCCGAATCGTCGTCCTATTTATCGTCGCTTCCCTTATTTTCGATAAGGGAATTTCATCATCCTCATCCCACGGGACTTATCCCACGAAATCTTATTCTTGATAAGATTTGTCATCATCCCCATGGAAATCTTATCCTGCATAAGATTTGTCATCATTCTTATCCATGGAAATCGTTACCTCTAATAATAAAATATTATCGTTGATCACCGACATGATCTGGCGGCTGGTCAACACTTGGTTGCCTTTATTGTTAAGTCAAGATAGGTTTATTTTCCCTATCATGTATATAATATATATAAATTTTCGAAAAAGAAAAAAAAATTATATAAAAAAATTTATATAATAATATAATCAAATATATAAATTTATACATATATGTATACATATATATATATTTTGTCCTTTTTTGACAAGATATTTTAGATTTTTGATTCTTTTTAATTAAGTTTAATTTTAGTTTCCTTTTAATGTCTACAACTTGAATTGGAATGTACCTAATATTAACATTATTGATGCAAATATGAATGGTGGACATGGTAGTTGAAAAAGAATAGTGGTTGTGTAAAAAAAAAAAAACATTTTGCATAAATTGCATTATTGGAGCAGAATTGCTAAAATGTAATATTTTGACACTGTAGCACTGTCAAAATATAGATTTGACATCCAAATTTAGCATTTTAGTATTGGAAATACTCTAAGAAAGGAAACTTTTTGGCATTAGTCAAAAGATGCTTCAACAAAGTATATTCGGCCATTCAAGCAAATAAAGATGAAACTTAATACAAATATAAATAAACTGAAATCTTTAATCAAGAAAAAAAGAAAAAAAAAGAAAAAAAAAAGGGTCATATAATAATAACAAACCCAAAAGCATCTTTATCTCTATCCGTAATACTATATAAAAGGGAAAAGCTAAACACTCTTACATAATTGTTGGTAAACCATTCCTAAGCCCCATACACAAACCATGGACCTCTTATTTCCTTCTGTAGTAGCAGTTACCATCCTCATAGCCTTCACTGTTTCTCTCACCATTTTTCTTTACAAATCAAAATCCACCAATAAAACCAATGTTCCACCAGGTAGCTTTGGGTGGCCATTCATGAGCGAAACATATGAATTCTTGTATGGCAACCTGAAAAATTCATCAATGACCGTATGAAAAAATACTCGTCCAAAATCTTCAAAATCTAGGTGTACGGCGAGCAGATCACCGTCGTCCTCTGCGGAACAGCCGGGAACAAATTCCTCGCCGCCAACGAGGATAAACTGTTCCACAGCTGGCGTCCATACAACTCTCAGATTCTCTTCCGTTACACCTACCAAACAGCCAATTCCGCTTCCATTCCACGTCAAACAGAAGTGCATTACTTTCGCGCTCCGGGTTTTCTCAAGCCTGAAGCGCTGGTGCGGTACTTGGACAACATGGATTCGAGGATCCAATAACACTTGAAAATGCAGTGGGAGGGAAAGCCAAGTGTGAAGGTGTATGACCTTGCTCGATCAGCTAATGACTGCAACACTATCGAGTCGGTTTTTCTTGGGTCTTGAAGACCATCAACTCATTGCAAAACTAGTTGGACTGTTGGATGGCATGACCATGGGGCTCCATTCCATGCTAGTTGATTTTCCGTGGACAATTTTCCGTCATGTGAAAAGGTCAGCGGATGCTATTAGGAAGGAGATGTTGGTTATTATTAAGGAGAGGAAAGCAGCTTTGTCGAGTGGATCAGTGAAAACGCTTGACATTCTGTCACATATGATTGTCAGTAGCGATCCGGTGACCCATCGTGTCTTGCCGGAGAATGAAGTTGCTGACAAGGTCATGGGTTTACTTGTGGTAGGGTTTAGCACACCTGCCACTGCTTTAACGTTCATCATGAAATTCATTTGAGAAAGACCGGACATCTATGACAAAATTCGAGCAGGTAAATATACCACTTATTTATAATTTGTATATGATTTTTGATTTTGAATCAATGTTATTTATTAGACGAAGTGTGTAAAAATATGAACACTAGGCTATTTTTATTTTTTTATTTTTATTTTTTTCTTGAAAAGCTTTTGTGATTTTTATTTTTTGTTTTGAATTATTCATTTATATTTGAATCACTTAAAAACAATTTGGATAGGTTTCATTTGTTCTATTTACTTATTTTTTGGTCATGGACTGACCAATTGGTCGGCACTTCAATTGATAAACTATTGTGACCCCATTTTTAAAGAAACAAAATAATTAATTATATTCACCTCTAAGTGGTGGATTTTAGGGTTGCAAATATCAACCCTAGCTAGGTCCCAAACCCAATACCAGAAATTAATAATTCAAAAAGAGTCCACCAACCAAATCATACTTTATCTATATTACTAGTAAAACTGTTTTGAGATTTTAAACATAATTTTGGGGCGGTTAGGTTAGTGGTCCAGTCCCTAATTCAACTTATTCATTTGCTAGATTCAAGGAGCATTGAAACTGTTAAGAAGAATTAATTGGTTGATCTGATGTTTTTTTATATGAATGGATTCCCCCCCAAAAAAAAAAAAAAAAAAAAATTGTTTTAATTAGTTCTAATTAGAATTTCGTAGATCTATAACAACTAATGAACCAAAGACTAGGCTTTGAAATATATGGCAGAACATCTATTTTGGTTCTTAAATTTGCTGATACAAATTATCATCCTCTAATGAACGTATAAAACAGAAACACTCGACGATAAGCACACAAACACACACACATATATATATACCATTTTTTCTTTTTCCAAACTGACATTATATATATGATTGTTTCAAATTAGAACAACCGGAGATTAGCCGCTCTAAAACCTCGGAGAAACTCAATTGGGATGACTTGCAGAAGATGAAATACATATGGAACATAGCACTAGAAGCGATGAGACTCATACCGCCTTTTCAAGGAACGTTCAGAGAAGTCATAACTGACATCACATACGAAGGTTTCACCATTCCAAAGGGTTGGAAGGCATATATATATATATATATATATATATATATATGTTCAACTACAATAATTAATATATTAACTCTCTCTCTCTCTATATCTATTTAAGTAGTCTTTGGCAATAGTTCAACAATTCAACTATTTCTTTGCCTTTCATTGCGCGCAGATTTATTGGACAGTCAGTACCACAGACAAGGACTCCAAACACTTTTCAAACCCTGAAAAGTTTGATCCTGCCAGGTTCGAGCAAGCGGATGTTTCTCCACCTTACACAAATGTCCCATTTGGTGGAGGTCCTCGGATATATATGCCCCAGAAAAGAGTATGCTCGACTAGTTTTACTCACTTTTCTCCATTACATAGTCAAAAAGGATGAAATGGGAGCTAAGGTATCCAAATGAGAAGATAGTAGGCAATGTGATACCTACACCAACCCGAGGACTTCCGGTTCATCTTCAACCTCAGTTAGCATAATGTGACATCCAGCAACCAAGAGGTTACGCCAGGCGCCACACAAGGTCCAAGTCCATGACAATAAGCTAGCCTATTCGCTTGAGCCACAAGTTTTGATGGCATGTATAGCACCGTGGGATGTTGTTGTAGTTTCATTTGAAATAATAATTAATATGGATTGATTTTTTTTTTTAATTATTATTTAGGAAAAGAAAATTGCAGTTTTATGTAAAAATTTGGATGTGGATTGTGGATCGATCTCATGCGCATATACCATATGTATATAACTTGGATTTCTAATGGTGGAAAAAAAAAAAAACAAATATCAACAGTCATTGTGAAACAAATTGAACTTTATGTCCTTGTGAAATAAATTGAACATTATGTAATTAATCACAAAAAATTTCAAATAACTAGGTAAAAGTGTTTGAATTTTATGTCGTTACAAATTTCGATGTCAAAATTCTAAAACTTTTCTAAAAAAAATTGAAAAAAAAAATTTTCTTTTACTAAATAACACTGGAAAGTTGCTGATTCATGAACTATTTATTTATGAGTACTGCTATTTCGTCTGACTTAAAAAAAACCGATATATTACGACTTCCACGTGTAGGTTACTGTATGGGCTACTTTAAAATCTAAATATATCAACACAGCTGTTAAAAAAAATTGGAAGATCTTTTTTCTCTCTCTATCCAAATAAAGAGATAAATGTCTGTCCTCTCTCCACATTCTCTTGATCTGTAGAACGCCGTGAAACTGCAATCATCACCAAAGACATGGTGGAGACCGTGAATATTTACCGCCGGCGCAATCGAGCACCAATATGACGGCCCAATTTGCAAAATTTGTTCAAATTATGATCAAATTGAATCTTTAAAGATTTGGGTTTGGGGAATTTTTGTTAATTATTTTCTTTCATCTTACTTTACTTTTCTTTCTCAATGTGTGTATATATGAGAAATGAGAGAAAAAAATTAACAAAATTTCACAAACCCATATCTTAATTGCTTTAAAGTTGGAAGTGGAAGAAAATTGAAAATCTTCCATCGATATTTTTTGTGTGTTTTTTCTTGGGTGGAAATCTTATATGATATTAAGACAACAGATTAGGATAAAAATCTCATTCACTGTAACGAGTCTTTTAGTGGATAAAATATTTTATAAAGAGCAAAATTTCAAAGAAAAATATAAAGAGGATTAACATATAGAGAGAAAAAAGATGAAGACGACAAAAAAAAAAAGAGTTAATCATACGGAAAGTCAGGAGAGAAAAAGGTAAAGAAGACATGAAAAAAAATTGCTGCAATGGTATTTTTGTCTAAAGAAACTTACTATATTTAATATGGTGTGAGGGCGCTTGAGAGAACCATTTATTTATTGCCATGTTAAAATAGGTATTTTGTTGGTTTTTTTTTTTTGGTTGCCTAAAATATCGTTTTCCTCTATTTATTGATGAGCGACCCTAGGACAGGTAAATGAGGAGTAATTTGGATGAGATTTTTCTCTCTTTCTTTGGCCCGGTTGGTTTTGGGCCTGTACTATTGGGCTTAGGTATGCCCCAATTTCATTTTGTAAATTTTTTTTCTTTATTTGTACAATTACTTTTACTTGCCTACCCAAAGATAAAATATAATCTATATACAAGAAAAGAAGCGGCCCAAAATGTGACAGCCATTTCGGACCAAAAGATATAAGACGAGGAATTTCAGTTGGCCCGTAAACAAAGGAGTCCCACTCTCCTGTTTTCTTCACAATTAACTTGAATGAACAGGCCCAAAACGGAACTGGATGTTTGACCGACCTTATTACATCCGATCAAAAATTCACGATCTGCTGCTATCCCTGACGTTGGCGCTTTCACGATCTTCTCAAACCTAGATCACCGGACTGTTTAGAATTGCTTTGGATTACAGCTAATCCGGTTGTTATCAACTGTAATCCACTTTTTGTGTTGGGCTGGCCTCAATGCTTGCTTATGTTGGGCCGAAAGTAGCCTTATCTTTCGGTTTTACTTATGTAATCTGCTTGGGTTTTGCCTGGGCAGAAAATGGTACTTATGTCCAAACCCATTCAAGACCCGCCGAAATAAAAGAAGGGTAATTTTAACAAAATTTGGGTTTAGGGTTTTGGAAGGAAGAGGAGAGCAGTTCATCATCGTCTTAATTACCCAAATGCTCGTGTTGAAGTTCATTTGATTCATCTTCTTCATATACATATTACAGTATTTATATTTATATTCACTCACGAGTCTTTACATAACCTTGACGAGAGAGATGATTAGGGGTGGAAGAAGCTTTGTTTCTTCGCCTCCGGCGTTTTCAAACGATGCAAAGAAGCTTCTTGTCTGCACAGACAACACCATATCGGTCTTCAGCACCTCCACTGGCTTACAGGTGTCTTTGTTTACCTCTTTCTACAATTTGTTTGTATATCCATATATTGATATAGATATGCACACATTGGGCTTTGCTTACGGGGACTTTTGTATGAGGTTTTGTAGTTAACGGAGTTGGAAGGTCACAGGGCACTTGTAACATCAATTATAGTTGTGCCCGCTTCTTCATCTGCCAGTAAAATGTTGTGCTATTGTTGGACCGCTTCTCTTGATGGGACCATTAGGTACTGGGATTTTTCTGCACCGGAATTGATGAAGACTATTGAGATTCGTTTTCCGATTTTCTCCATGGTAATTTGGCAATTTTAGTTTTTTTTATGCTGGGTTTGTTTTTCTCTTTTCTAACACTAAATTGGATTTTATACTCTGTTAGCAAGTGACAAAGTTTGAATATCAGATTTCTAAAAGTGCAGGGCTTTAGAAAATTAAGATATTTGACTGTACCTACATAACTGTGTGGCTAAGCTGAGTTGAGCATCGAGTTCTTTTCAAAACCATTAGAATCACAAGATTTTGAATTTGGTTATCATCGTCTTTTCTGCTGGAAATACTATGGGTTTCATTGGGTTTGACAGCGTCATCTTGAATGGGGGTGGAAAGGAAAAATATAGAAAAGCAAAACAGGATTAGTAAACCCAATTGACGATGCTGAATCAATTTGATATTCTATGGATTATGGAGTTCTAGAATAGATATTTATCAAATAGAAATGGAGAAAAAAAAAAATGGAAATCGTCAAAAGATGTCTTTACTTTTACATCTATACTTTCTATTTTGTCATTCTTAGTCGATTAAAAAAAAATAAAAATTTAAACTTCTTTCATTTGTCATTGTGATGTTTAGGTGATTCCAGGTTTGTTAGCCAAACAGGTGGTTGACAATTTAAAACCACCGGATCTTTTCGCTTATGTTTCTACTGAAGATATAAAAGAGCAGGAGAATCGGCCTAACAATTTAAGCGGGCAAATCCGGAAGTGTAACTTGACAAAATGTCGTCTAGTGGGTAGACTCACTTTGGCAGAGGTGATTCTTATATAATTTGGATGATTACCGTATTGTTCATATGTTGACATATTTATCCTTTAGTTATTCTTACAGATGCATCTATTAATTTACACGTTCTGTACGTGTATATGTGTATTATTTGTATTATTATATAGTACGCTTGAGCATTTAAATTCTCATATTTATTAAGCATGCGGTACATCGGGTAAGAGTTCTCGGAACATAATACATTTACTTATCTACTGCAAAAATATAATGCGTTTACTGGTGGTATTGTTTCATATGAAATTGGTATCATTCATATTGTTAACTTGTTCATGCATATGAATTTTTATATTTGCATATACCTGATGTAATTAACAATGCATGAAAACAAATTTTCATTATTTCTACAGACTAAAAAACCAGAATTCATAACCATTTCTTCCTCTGGGAAATACATTGGCATCCGGGAGAAGCAGAAGCTTCGTATATGGGAAGTCCCAGCAAAAGATTCTGAGCAGGTTGTGATTAAGAAAATGAGATTGCGTCGTACCAAAAAGTTGACAACTCTTGCTTTTCATCCAACCGAGAGAATTATAGCTGCAGGTGATGTAACAGGAAGGATCTCAATTTGGAGGGGTTTTGGTAATAATACATTTGCTGTTGGTGAAAAATCTGTAATTGGAGGGTCGATTAAGAATGAGGATGAAAGACCTGGGGTGAGGGGAGATGATGATGCCGATTCCTGCACCACATGGCATTGGCACTCTGATGAAGTGAAGCTTCTCTTTTTCTCTTCTGATGGAGCGTATCTATATTCAGGTAGGTAAATGTAACTCTTAACTGACTGAGTGGGAAAAAAAAATTAACTCTTACCTGTAGTAGGCTTTACTTACCTGTTGATATGTGAGTATGCATTCACGTGAAACACTCAAGAACTTGATTTGAGCGTTCTCTTCCATTACTATTTTCTCCGATCAATCTTGTTACTGATTTTGTACTTTTAATGGGGGAAATCATATTTTCTCTAATATCTGATCTCTTTACTTGCTTCAGGTGGAAAGGAAGGGGTTCTTGTAGTTTGGCAACTAGACACAGGGAAGAAGAATTTCCTACCACGAATAGGATCTCCACTTTTATACTTTATTAATTCTCCAGATCCTTCACTTTCCTCTGTAAGAAGGATTTCTTTTTTTTACTCTTCTTGGACATAGAATTGTACCAGAATCATGAATTTCTTCTTCTGAAACTGAACTGAGTTTCTTCAGATGTCTTGTGCGGATAATCAAATTCATCTTCTGAAAATGCCTTCAATGGAGATTTTGAAGTCCATTTCTGGGATCAAGGTTTGTTCCACTCAACTTGTTTGTTTTCTTTGGACACCAAAAAATAATAATAATAAATAACAAATGTGCTTTATTTATTTTAGTCACGGTCATATTTGCACCCACACTTTATTTTATTTTATTTTTATGATTTAAATCTGGGAGAACCTATGACGGGAATGAAGCCTGAAAAAATGGCATCTTCCCCCTCACCACCGCGCCTCCCCCCCCTTACCCCCCTTCTTCCTTCCTTCCTTCTCACTCGTGCATGCATGTTTGCATGGAGCAGAATGTATGGGTATTTTAGTAATTGGCCCTTCTGGGTTGTCTACTAATGTGCACCGTATGTCAAATAGTATTGATCTATTCATGATGCTATCTCTGTTTATATACTAATATTACTTTTCATTTTAAATGCTCGTGCCTATTTCTTTAGTATTGAACTTGTTTTGTACTGTTTGTATTCAACATTTCAACTCCACGTTTTCTTGTTTCATTTTGGAAAATAAAGGTCTTCATGCTTTTACACCGTAATTTCAGCTCCCTTGTTCAGTTCCAGAAATATTTATAGGCTCATCTAGCGGGCTTGTGTTTGATCAAACCGCTGGGTTGGCTGCCATACGTACAGAGAACTACCGCATCCAATTCTACAGTTTGTTTGATGACCGTGAAATTTCAGAGGTAAGCATGTTCAGTTGTCCAAGAGTTTGATTATTTTCAGTTTCAGGAATTTTACTTTCTATAACTAGTTCAAGGAAATGATTTCGCTCTTATCGTTTAGGTTGTAAACATGTGAAACATTACATATAATGATTTTGCTTGTGCATGTGTTTTGAAGTGATTCTACTTTTTTGGTTTCTGAGGTCCTGGATGGAGGATAGTGGTGTTCAATCGATAGTTAATTATACTACTGATCTTATGGTAGTTATTCGCTTACAATCAGTGAAACATTTCATCATTGCCTTTTCCTTCGGAAGATTTCTCTATATTTACTTTTTTTAGAGTAGGTTTGGTGTTGATGTTACTGAATTTAGGTTTCTGGGTGTAAGACATCAAATTGGCCCAATCTCCCATTCCATATGCATATCACCTACTTTACAGTAGAGGATTTAATATTTTCAAACAACCGTTTGTGATTTTTGTACATAATCAGTATTTGGGATTTCATGTGTTTCAATTTTTTATTCTGCAGGTCCAAGTCTGTGAAAGGAACCATCAACCAGGTGATGACGTCACGGTACGAATTTTCTTTTTCAATCTCGGTATTTGTGGATTCAGTCCCATATTTCACTGTTTTGGATGGGTTTTAATGTAAGATAGAAGGCTCAATGTTTTGGTGTTTTTGTGATGCTTATATGATGTCCAACTTCTTCCTGATATTATTTATGACTATTACCTTCCATATTCCATAACTTCAGGACTTAGTGGGCTAGTGCAATTACTTCAAGTAAGTTGGTTTGATTTATGCCATTATAAAGACCAAATCTAAGTTGTCATTTACACCCTTGATTTTGTTTTTAGTTTTTTCCCCTTTCCGTTACTCTTTTCTTCCTTCAAATTTTTTTTTTTTTTTTCCTCTTGTTGTTTTGCAGCATGTTGCTGAAAATTTATCTATGGTAGGACCCTTGTAATTTGTATTTGGAAATATCCACAAATCACAATCAACATCTATTATTTTTAGCAAACCTATATTTTTCTATAGTTACTAATATTTTTTAAAACTTTCTCAGTGATATTAAATATGGATACTGTGCATCCAGACTTGACTGAGGCTATGGCCTTAAATTGTGCGGAATGGAAACATGGAATTCATGTAGCCGACCCCAAATTGTTGGGGAAAAGGCTTGATTGTTGTTGTTGTTGTTGTACTGTGCATCTAGGCATTGTACTTTGAGAATTCTTTCACCCCGATACCAGTTGAGCTAAAACTTTAGTGGTCTTATTTTTTCATCCGAGAAAAATACTTATTAAATAAAGTTTATAAGGTGTGAGGATAAAAGAACTTGTATTTACTGCACAAAAGGATTTAATACAACACTTCCTATCAGAATAGTGTTCCTGTCAAAATAGTATTAATTATAATATCTTTTAATTGCAGCTACTTTGAGAAAGTAATGCTAAGAGTTAGGTCTGCACCCAGTCCACCCTTCCATCTCCCTTGACTGATCGGGACATGGTAATGACCTTTTATATTAACATCATCTAATACATAATTGAAAATTTTCCACGATTAGTATTGGTTATTAACTCTCAAGTGGGAGAACTCTGGTCTGAGCCTGATGGAACCACTGTGTGTGTAAATCAAGAGACTAGATCTTAATTCAGTCCCTCCCTCCCAACACTGCCAACTTCGATGGGAACAATACTATGTAATGGTTAATGGTTTTTTTTTTCTTTTTCTTATTTATTTATTTATTTATAATATTTATGATATATACCTACTTTTATGTGTATGATCAAACTTATTATTATAAATTCGTTGGTTAAATAATATCATCAAGATCTAAGCCTTCAGTTTTGCGATGGCAGGTAATAGTGACTTTGGTGGCCCTATCCCTTGATGGCTCTATGATGAGTACTGTTGAAACTAAGCTTCCTGAAGAAGGAATAGGAGGCCTTGTCACGCTTAAGTTTTGGGCACGTGGATCAAAGAGTAAAGACTTTAGCTTGTCGACCATCATTTATGAACCACACAGGTTTGTCTGTTGTTTTTTCATTAACAAAAAATATTTTAATGGTCCATGATACTCTTATTATGAACTTTGATTAAATTGTAGGAGTTAAGCATGAGTGAAGTTCATTTTACTTGCCAGTACAACCACATTTTCTTTTGAATAAATAGAAGTTTAAAATATTGAGTACAATAACATATGCCAACACAGAAATGAACATTATACTACCTGCTGAATACTGTATAGGGATGCTGGTGTTTCTGCCATTGCTTTCCATCCTACACGTGATATTGCTGTGAGCTCTTCTTATGGTGGTAACTTCAAGGTAACTGGATAAATTGGATTTTTTTTTTTTAGTTAACTGTTTGCTGTGTGACACTTGAAATCTTACAGATTTGGGTTCACAACCATGAGATTCGGCAGAAGAATCAAATGCTTCAGAACACTGGGTGGACATGCCATGCTGTCGGTTCATACAAGTATGATCTTGCTTCAGTTTAGATGATTTAAATTTTAGGCTATGACTGTCTTTTTTCCTTGCGAAAGTTTGGAATTTATAACATATACTTTAGTGGATTAACATGTAAAATATTAACAAAAATAAAATAGAAAGTTGAATATTCTATCCTAAAAGTTCCAAGGTCTGTGGCACAAAGATCAGACAAGCTATTGATATCCATTGACAACGTATTTAGTTGGATGGGACTGGGAGTCAAGATAGCTCAATTAGCAGCATAGTAACTATCAATTGATAGGCATCTCCAGGACTTTTTTCATCCATACAGAAGATAACTTCATTTATCTGTTCAACAAGCTTTTTGTATTTTATCTTGACACATAAATAAAGATATGCTGCTGCATAATAATTTAGTTTTGCGTCTGCTCATTAAGAATTACTTATTTCTTTTGTTATGTCCCTGTGACTTTAGTGAATATTTTCTTTTTCCACCAGAAACAAGCCCATGACAGCTGCTGCGTTTTCTGCTGATGGTTCTGTTCTGGCTGTTGCAGCAGAAACTGTTATTACATTATGGGACCCAGAGAAGAATGTGCTAGTGGCTGTAATAGGAGAGAATCTTGAGGTGATTCTCGGAATAAGCTGAGCATCATTTTCTGTAACTGTGCTATCTAAACATAAATTGGAACCTTTTAGCTTCCTGGCCTTCATTTTGAGTTTTCAAGAATTATGTGCTTTCTGGTCATAAAAGTGAGATTATAAATAGGTCATTGTTTTTTACCTTGATGAACAAAGTCACAGAAAATAAATTATGCTGCTAAACATCATATTTTCTATTAAATTATAGAAATATTCCTACATCTAAAGAATGAATTATTCCATTATTGTGGATCTCTCTCTCCCTTTCCCCCCCAACACACACATTCTGTACTTATTTAAGTTAACTTTTTTTTTTGGCAGCCAATTGAGACCCTGGCATTTGTTGGGAAGTCAGAATATCTTGTGTCTGCATCCCGAGGTTCAAACCCACAAGTTTCTCTTTGGAGTATGTCAAAGCTGTCTGTATCTTGGTCCTACAAGCTTCACGTGGAAGGTGTGAATATTCTTCTCTCTCATAGTCCCTTTTTTTTTTGGTGCTGCCCACCCCCTCTGTTGGGGTTGTGTGTAGGAATGTAAACGGGGTTGTTTTGAGGCGGCTCACCCCTGTCATCTCCCACCCCGTCCTAAAACCCAAATAGGAGCCGCGGTGGATAACCCACTGTACACACTTTTCTGAAAAATCAACCTTGAAATAGATGTAGAGAACTCCAAGTATAAGAATCATAATCATGAATTTTGTTAACTTTGTAGTTAAAGTATTAAATTATCATGACAAACAATGAAAAGAAAAAGTGTTAACTAATAATAGAACATGCATTAATATATTTATTACTAATTGGGGTGAGTTTGTGTTTGGGTTATTGACTCTATTAGGGGCGAGACGAGTCCCTGCCTTGCTGGCTTAATTTGACTTAGCTAGTTGTGCATTTATGTGTTTGCGTCTGTGATTTTTTTTTTTTTTTTCCTTAGTTGGTGACACACACACATGCTTCCACTAAGGCTCGAACCCCTGAGTCCTTTGGGAAGTAGGGGCCTGGTACCGCTAGGCCACTGGCTTGCATTTATGTGTTTGCGTCTGTGATTTCTTAATGTCTAAACTTTTGCTTGCATTACATCCTCTGCAACAGTCATTCACTTCAGCTATTTGAAAGCTTGAATAATGCTACTTGATGCGTACTCACGATCAATGAATATAGATGTGTATAATATGACAATCGAGAAACACCAATTTTAAATTTATAAAGCCACTACACAACTATATTTGATGTATAGTGAGTAGGGATCGAACACAGGGACTATAGGCTTGGACTGAAATTAACATTAATGAGTGTGAGATTGAAAAGATGATGATTGGTCTGTTTAAACTATAAATGTAATTAAACTAAATAGAAATTGCAAATGAGATAATAGGAGAAGGAAATTAGAGTAAGGTAATGGTGATAGGGACTTAGGGCATGAATTTAACCACTAAACCTATGCAATTGCACCAAATGCCTTTAATTAATGGGGAAAACAAGTTGTTATGAGGATGTGGCTACAAGCACATATCATTAAGCAAGCAAATATCACAAATTCACAATTGTAATGAATAAGCATGAATTATCAAATTCAAGTATGAATTGTCTACCTAACTACAATTACTTTATGATGTAGAACAACTCATCAAGATTAAGCATAATTCATCAAATGATCATGTTTGCTGGAATTTCCAGTTCTATCTGTTGGAGAGGATGGGTTTTGGTGAGAGATGGAGGAAGTGGATTGTTTCTTGTATTTCCACTGTCAGGTTTTCGGTGTTGGTGAATGGCTCTCCTTCGGGGTTCTTTGGTAGTTCTTGTGGGTTGAGACAGGGGGATCCTCTCTCCCCTTTTTTTTTTATTATTGTTATGGAGGCCCTTAGCAGGCTGATGAGAAGGGCGGTGGATTTGGGTTTTCTTAGGGGTTTCAAGATTGGCCCTGAATCAGTTCAGCAGTTGGAGATCTCTCATTACTTTTTGCGGATGACACTATTGTTTTTTGTGAGGCTGATGTATCCCAGTTGAGGTATCTGAGATGTGTTTTGGTTTGTTTCTAGGCCGTTTCTGGTTTGAAAGTAAACGTGGGAAAGAGTGTGATTGTTCCTGTGGGGGAGGTTCAAGAGGTGGACACTCTGGCTGCTGTTCTAGGGTGTGGGATGCAACGCTTTCCCATCTCGTATTTGGGTTTGCCGCTGGGGGACTCGGCTAGGAGGGTGGGAAGTTGGAACCCGGTGATTGAGCGGGTCGAGAGAAGATTAGCGGGTTGGAAAAAACAATATCTGTCAAAGGGCGGTAAAGTTACGTTAGTGAAGAGCACTTTGTCAAGCCTTCCAACGTACTTTCTTTCGCTTTTTCGTATTCCAGCCTTTATTGTTGGAAGACTAGAAATGCTCCAACGTAATTTCCTTTGGGGGGGTCGCGGAGAAGAGTTCAAGTATCATCTTGTCAAATGGGAACAGGTTTGCAGGCCTATTCGGTTGGGAGGGCTTGGAATTAGGAGATTGGCCCTTTTCAATTGTGCTCTTCTTGATAAGTGGCTTTGGAGATTTGGTAAGGAAAGACATAGATTATGGAGAAGGGTTATCTCATGTCGCTTTGGGGAGGAGAGAGGAGGGTGGTCAGTTAGATTAGTCAGGTCTGTTAATGGAGTGGGGGTGTTGAGGGCCATTGGTAAGGGGTGGGATGCCTTTTCCAAACATATTAGATTCAGAGTTCGGGATGGAAGAACTGTCCGGTTTTGGGAGGACCCATGGTGTGATGATAGGCCTTTGGCCCTATTGTTTCCCAGGCTTTTCAGGATTGCTGTTGACAAACATGCTATGGTTGCTGACTACTATCGCCTTGATAGTGGAAGGTTGTCTTGGGATGTGCGTTTCCGGAGAGCTTTTCAGGATTGGGAGTTGGATGATGTCACTGGGTTTTTGGCTCTCCTTTATGGACAGGAGGTGGAGGGGTCTGGGGCAGATTCCTTGATTTGGGTGCCTTCTTCTCAGGGGATGTTCCAGGTCCGGTCTTTTTTTGTGTGCCTTTCTGGTTTTCATGGTACCTCATTCCCATGGAAGACGGTGTGGAGGTCTAAGGCGCCTTTTAGGATTGCCTTTTTTGTGTGGATTGCAGCTTGGAGTAAGATTTTGACTTTGGACAATTTGAGGAAGCGAAGGCATATCATTGTTAATAGGTGTTGTCTTTGCACGATTAATGGGGAGTCGGTGGATCATCTTTTGTTGCACTGTCCTGTGGCTCATGATTGTTGGAGTGTGATGTTTGGCCTGTTTGGTATTCATTGGGTCATGCCTTGGTCATCTTGGGAGTTGTTAGATATGTGGAGGGGCCAATGGGTGGGGGCTCAGGCCAGAGTTTTTTGGAGGGTGACCCTTTTTTGTATTTGGTGGAGCCTTTGGAGAGAGCGTAATGGAAGATCTTTTGAGGGAAAGGAATCCTCCATTGGGGTGTTAAAATTTTCTATCATTTGTAATTTGTTTTGTTGGGGTCAGGGGAGAGACTACTCCTCTCTTGAGGATATTGTTGATTTTATGAGCTCTTTGAGTTCATAGGCTCCGTTTTGTCTTTGTATAGTTTGGGACGCGTTCCTCTTTTGAACGCTTTTAATACAATTTACTTATCAAAAAAAAAAAAAGAACAATTGTGTCCAATGAAAACAATGCATGGCCATCATTGAATACAATTACAAAGAGTACTCAATGTAGAGATCAATCAACAATCAACCATATATAAGACAACATAGAGTCAATTAGAAGATTAATTGGAAGAATTGATTAATACAAATCTTGGTACAACTAAGTTTGAATCCATAAGACCAAGCAAAATATATACAACTTAGAAATCCCCAAAAATGAAAGACAAGATATACAATGACACAAGTTTATGGCTCATCCAAGCCCTAAGTGAAGATCTAGCTACATAGAGGTGATGGATGTCATCTTCATGGCTTCTATTTCCATCTCCATGCTTAGCTTCACCTTCTCCTTCCACCTTGACAGCAAACCCTAGAGAGAGAAAGTATAGAGAGAGATCCCCAAATTCCAATTTGATCCCCAAATTCCAATTCTAATCCCCCAAAACTCCTCTCCTTTCAAAATGGGCTTGATCTTCTATTTATAGGTGATTCCTAGGCTCCCAATGAGGTCAGACCCCGTACACAAGGACACCACCTTGATTGCACCACGAGCTCCCTTGAAGAAGGCTTTAAATCTGAAATTCGCAACTGCCAGACCCGTATCCGATCGATCGGATTAGAGTCCGTCTGATCGGATTTCGAACAGACAATCCGATCGATCGGATTGTCTGAATTTTGGCCTTTAGGCTTGACATCTTTAAACCTTTAAGGCATTGGAATTACCCCTGTCGGATCTCAAGTATCTGAAAGTAGAGAATGAAACAAATCAAGATTAAAACAGGGAAGAAAAGATAAACTAAGTTGCTAAGTAATGAAGATTAAGGGCTGAATAATGCATATTTCAGCACTTATCACTACTGATTTAAGCCTTGGTTTGATGTTATCATTTTTAAGATAAGGTATCTGGAAAAAAATATATATCTGTGGTTTATTTAGTATTCATCTGATGCACTCGAGTGACTTTTATTTGTCTTTGATTCAAAAAAGGTGTAAAGTACTGGGAGTTTTTATGCCTAAGATCAACCCATTTCTGGAGAACTTGGCTTATGGCTCTGTGTTGTTTGATGTGGTGCATATGGAGAGATATTTGACTGTGTGGAGACTCATTAATAATATAATGAAAAATGACCTCAAACTTTTCTGTAGGTTGGTTGGCAGGGTGGGTTAACCCATTTCTGGAGTACTGTTTGGTTTTTGTAGAAAATATGACATAGCTACTCAGATAATTTATTTATTTATAAAGTGATCAAGGCCTTCCTTTGAATACAATATTTGGGCAATTGCTGTGCCCTCTTTTTGGTGCTGCTTCATTACCGTATGCATTAATTATCAAAATAATTGTAAAACCATTAGGCAATAGTACTGTCATTGGATTTAAGTGCTGGTGGATCACATGTAAAAGATCTGCATGATAATTAGTTATTGTATTTAAACAAGGTTGACTGTCTACTATTCAATGAGAAATTGGGTTTCCATGTGTACAGAAAATCCACCCCTTATCCCATGCAGTCTCTTAGATTTAATGTGTAAAGTTTGCAGTTACCCATTCAAAAGACGAATTAACATGAATAATCTCTCCCAAATTCTAATTGAAGCATCTTTTCTCTCTTTCTCAAGTTCTGCTTCGAGGTTGATGCCCTAATTTTCTGAAGTTCCAAATTCTTATTGAAGGCATTCTATATTGTTTGTACAAAAATGAAGTTAATGGCATCATCATCTGCCACTGATGGGACTCACGGAACTTATAAAATTATGTTTACGAACATGCCTCTTGGACCAGCAAAATGTAGAACTACTTTTTGAGGATATACTTGGTAACCTAAGTGATATTATGTTCATTGATGTTCTTAAGTTTTTGAATTTTGCATTTTTTTCCTATTTGTTCTTCTAGGGATTTAGTACTACTACTAAATTGTTAAATAAACGGTTCTTTTAATGGCAAACAGAGGTGAAGGGGAGTTCAGGTTTCTTGTTCTTCTTCCTTTATTTATTTATTCTTTTGCGCATTTATTTTTGAAACATTCCGCAGAAGTTTCGGGGGAGGTTTAATCTTTGCTTCAGAATCAAGCATCATGAGTGCATAAATGCACTTATAACTCAGATGCACTCCCTTTGTCGTTTAATCTTTACTTCAGAATCAAGCACCATGAGTGCATAAATGCACTTGTAACTCAGATGCACTCCCTTTGTTATGCATACAGTTTATTATACGCTGTTATAGAACTGAAATCATTCTGTATCATGTGCGAAGTCATCACGTTCTATTAGCTTTGCACTAATGACTTCGAAACCCCAAATACGAGCACCTGAATCTTATGAAAAATTCTTAAAAATTCTACATTCTAAATACTCAGAAGGTGGTACAGGAACCTTAATTTTTAATATTAATATTTCAAGCCTATCCATGAGGTCCAACATTTTAATTCCATATTTGTTGCCCATACTTCTTTTGGCTAGTTTTTCTTATAATTTTTTTCTGTGCAATATTTATGCCATTTTAATCTGTGATTTTTACACCTTTAACACTGACTTGAGGTTTTCTTCTTTGTGCAGCTGTAGCTTGTACGGTGGATTCTACATCCTTTGCGGTTCTTGCTCTTCTCCCTAAATCATCTAATGATATGGAGTCTAATGAAACCACTCTGCAGTATACAAACGGGGTAATTTTGTTATTCAATGTTGGAGATCCGATTCCTGTGGCTACCTGGTCCGTAAGAAAGGTAGGTTTTTTTTTTTTTTTTGGTTTCCTTCGATTTTTTCTTTTTTCTTGTTTTTTGAAGTTTCCCTCCAATGGGAGTTGCTTCTTTGTCCTCTTGATCCTACCAGGATCGAAAACTGTTTTTCATGTATTCTTTTTTCTTGTTTTATAGATTGTGCAGTCTGTTTATTTTTCGTTTAAAGGAAGGTATTTTTTGGGGGGTTGGCTTATTTTAGAATGTATTTGTTTTTACATATGAAATAATCCTTCAACTGATGAACATACAGAGGCTTTGGCAAGAAGTTGTGTCATCATAACTGTCATTATGATAATTAAGATGTGCATACATGGTTTTGATTATTAGAGGGGCGTGTATTTCACATTAATCTCTCTCTACCCCCTTAAAATGCCTATAGTTCTCCACCACCACTTAACATATAATGCAAAACAAATTAGTCATGTGCAAATTAACTGTCCTAGGTAAAGTTGAATTAAGATTTATAAAGGTCATTAGCCAGTGCCAGTCCCACCATGTAAGATTTTGGGAGAGGAAGACATGCAACAGAACCCAGTGCCAGTCCCACCATGTAAGATTTTGGGAGAGGAAGACATGGAACAGAACTGTCTTTGGCAATATCAAACCACTGTTCTCGCATTTTTCAGAATATTTACCATTTCACCTAGCAATAGCTTCTTAAACTTTAGATATATATAATTTAATCTTTTATCTTTCAAACTCCAATAGATTAGTTGATGCATAGCAAATTTCAACTTAATTATATTAATAATTCTGTCTATATATATATTTTTTAATCTATTATAATTTTAATTTTTAAGACTGTTTGGCCTTTTGTGGACAAATAAAGGTCCCTTACGAGTATTGTGTCATTCAAAACATTCAGTTGCTTCATAGTATCGATTATACATTTGGAAAGAATATTGAAGCAATTTGCATTATGTTCCAACTCTTGTATGCTTGTATTGCAGGCAAAGGGAGGGGGACTTGCTTTTCTTCATACAAATGCAGTTTCCTTGGAAGAGAATATTTCTGATGAAAAACCAGCGCCAGTGTTGCTTGCATACACAAACGGTGATCATGAGTATGTTATCTTTGACCCATATGGAAAGCAAGCACTTGAGCACAATGTTACTCACAGGGCTGATCTGGAGGAAACCGGTAAATTTCTATTTCTTTCATCATTTTTAGACCAATTATTTGTAACTTTATCAAGTGTAGCTGCACATTTTGTTGTTCCTGTTATTATTCCATTTCCCATTGAGCTATTATACGCTAACATTTTGAAATGCTTTGGTGCATCTGGTTTATCACCCCTGAGGTATACTTTGACTTCTGTTCACCAACTCACCAAGGGTACAAAACTAGTTTTGTCTCTCTTGCAAGGCATCTTTCAATTAAATTGCTGTGTTAGGAGGAGGTCAAAATTGTCCAAAGATTGATCTCATTTTCGTGATTTTAAGGTTACTACTTTTTTGTCAGAACAGTGACATTGTAATTGGAACAGTATCCATAATGCGGGGGAATGGGTCTTGTCTAGTGCGCGCGCATGGACGGGCGGATCCAGGAATTTAGTTCCCACGCGGGGCGTTCACAAACAAAATTTGGGTTAACTACTGACCTCCCTTGAGATTTGGGCAAATCTCACATAAGTGGAGTGTTTGAGGCTTATTACTTTCGCCTCCCCTAATTCTGTGAATTGTTTTTTATACTCTTATTTAATTAAATATATGTCAAACTAAAAGACTCTATTACCCTATATTTTTTCCCTCTGAATACTGTATTACACAAACAGCAGAACTTAAAAAAAATTATCTTCTCCCTTTTTTTTTTCCTTCTCTTGTTTCTCTCTTTCATCTCCACCTCCTTCCCTTGTTGTCGCCGCCTCCACTAACCACCAGCACCTCGACAGTTGCCGTTGCCCACTCCCCTTTCCTCTCTCTCTCAACCTCCTCCCATTGCCTCTTCCTTCCACCGCCGTCACCACCACGGCAACCCTGACTCCCTCTTTTCTCCTCTTTTGTATATTTCTCACCTCTCTCTCAAGGGTATTTTCAAACACTATGACTCAAATCTTCCTAAATCTATATTCCTCCATCTTCTTGTATCTCCTTTCCTTACCCTAATTCTCTTCTTCCGTGTCAAAGGTTCCATTACATACTCTTACTTGCTTACATACATACATAGATACACACGCGTATATGTATTTTTGGTATATATATTATCCGTTTGAATTTCAAGTACTTATATTATTTCCTTGGGTGTTTGATCCGGAATGAAGGAAATTGGCATGTAGGGATTGTTGTGATGGGGCTTGATGATGGCAGTGAAGGGTGGAGTTGGTGGGAATTTTAGAGAGAGAAAGAAATGACAGATGGGGGATTTTAGAGAGAGAGAATTGGAAGACGGGGGATTTTAGAGAAATAAATGATTTTTTGGTATGTTTTGGGATTTTTTTGAGTTTGATCTATTTGCTGGGTGCTTTGTGTTTGATATATATATATATATTTCTGTTGTTCTAGGTTTTCTCTGATGTATAGAAAGAACATGACCCATTCATGTGGGTCACTTAGATGCTTTGTATCATGGCCATGGACACCATGATCAAAACCACAAAACAGAAATTAGAGAACTGGAGAGTTGAATGTGAGGGTGTGTATATATTTATATATGCGATACACGTGTATTGTGGTAGGTGTTTTGAAATGATTAAAATTTGATGATAAAAAAAAAAAAAAAAAAAAGAAGTGAGAAAGAAGGATTAAGAATTTTAGAGAGAGAGAGAGAGAGAGAGAGTTGATTTTGTAATTTTGTTGCACAGTGCAAGGCTAGAAATGTCTTTTTGAACAATGAAAGGGTAGTTTAGTCATTTAGTAAATTTCATCTAACAAGAGGGAGGTCATTGAGTGCCCACACTAAACCTCAAGGGAGTACAAGTAATAAATTTCCAATGTTATCCGAGTGTAATTTGACAAAACCTCAAGGGAGGTGAGTGTAATTTACCCAAAAAGTTTGTTTTCTAACTAATGGTGCAACAAGTAAACAGGTGGTGGTTCATTAATTAAAAATTCAGAGTATGTAAATTATTCATAAAAATATTGTTGTAAACAAAAAACAGAAATACAAAATACGGACATTAGGTGTCCTTTTGGCAAACAGTATATTGTTTTTTTTTTTTTTTTTTTAATTTTTTATAAAATCGTTATGATTGTTTAGCTATATATATAATATAGATCTTTACTTTCAGATTTGGGTCTTTTTTTTAAACATGTGCAATATTGTGCAAAGAGTTACGGCATGTCTTTTAGTGACTTGTTTATCTTTTTCAGCAATTGGCCAACAAAAAGAAAAAAACTGGGGGGGTTGGGTGATGAATTCAATTACCATTTAGTTTACTGGGAGAGAGTGTGTACCCCAATCAAAAAGGGGGGTTTGGGAATCCGAAGGTTGGATATGTTCAATAAGGCTTTGTTAGGTAAGTGGCTTTGGAGATTTGGGATCGAGAGGTCCAAGTTGTGGAGACAGGTTGTTCCCTGTCATCACGGGGAGGATGATGGAGGGTGGCACTCTAGGGAGTCAAGAGGGCCGGCAGGTATGTGTTCTTGGAAGTTGATCCAAAGGGGCTTGGATGTGTTTTCAAAACTTAAAAATGAGATGTTCTGTACCTCCACTGTCTAACTTGTTATACTTTTTTTATTTTTTTTTATTTTTTTTTATGTATTACTATAAATATATTTGGATTTTTAGAACTGTTGAGGTATTCCTGGGGGCAAGATCTTCAAATTTTTTAGAAGTTGCAGGACAAATGAATCTTAGTATGCCCTGGAATAAAGGGATGACAATTTTGTGTGATGCACTATTTCATAATAGCTTTGCAAGTTTTTTGTGGTTGCATGTGTACAAATACACTCATACTATATCCATACTGTTGCTTCCTAGCAAAGGATTTTCCAAACAATGCCGATGAGGATGATGAATTCCGCTATCTATCATGAGTGATTTTCTTACTTTTCTTGTAGCAGGGCAATTTGGTTTTGTGTCTATCTACGGAGATTTACCAGAGTTCAACAGAAAGAGAAATCAGAGTCCATCAGTCCCATGGGTACCATCTGAAAAATCTTGGGAGACCATCTTCACTGGATCATCTTATAATCTTCCTCCTCTCACCAAGTTGTGTACAGCGTTTTTGGAATCATTGCTAGAAAAGAGAAGTGCTGAACTGCAGTAACTCTCCAATATGACCAGAGTAAAATTAATTCTTGTCGGTTTAAGCATCTGAATCTACCGTTTTAGTCCATCTTGGATTTTCCATTTGTGTCTCCTATGAAATCAGTTTGACTTGGATAAGAAGAAGCAACAGCTACCTGTTCCGCGCATATTCATGTTGAGAGGAAGCTGTATTGTTGATATGCAAATACGTTGCCATAAAATCGGAGGCTGCGGGTAGACAATGTAGTTTGGAAGTAATGTGCAATTAACAGGAACTGAAGAAACTTTCTATAAATATGGAGGAAAATTATTTTGGGGCCTCAAGTTGTTGAAGAGAGACTTGTTCAGTCTTGAAGCAAGCCAGGCTGGTGATCTTCAAAATTTTTGTATTGTAACCATTCATTGTTTTGAACATTTAAATTTGTGAGGTTAGGTCATTTAGGAAGTACCTGTTTTAAACTGTTTTCGGTACAGTCACTAAATTTATACTACAGATCTCTGAAGTTATTTTTGAGTTTCAAGTGAATGATATTTTGGGCAGATCTTGTGTGGGTGAATATTTTGCATTAGATCGTACTGGTTCAAAGTCAGAAAACTTCCTAGTCTTCTTCCTTCCCTCTTCAAGGTGACTTTCAAAGATTGATTTTGTCATTTGGTAAGTTGAACATAGTAACATCCTGTCCATCTATCTGTTCGAGTCTGATGCACATCCTAATTTGTTAGCCTACCATGAAGAATTATACTATAATTATATGGAGATCTCCTCTGCTCTGTTAGAAATCCTTGTCAAATAGAGTGTGGGCGAGGTTTTACCTTTTCGTTTTCAGTGGTTATTATTTGATTTTAGTTGAAAAATGAAGTTAAGGTGAAAAACAGCACAAATCTGGTTTTCTGAATTTTAGTTTTGCTAAATTTGAACAATTGAACCACAGGATAATACCCCGCTAAAGAACATTTGTAATTATGTTACGGAGACTTGAACCATTCATGGGTAAATTATGCTGACCTTCTCTAAGTTTGTTTAATAAATTAATTGAATAAATTAAGACTTAAAACGAATATATTAAAATCTCAATTCGCGCGGAGTTGCATTGTCATATTCCAGTCTTTCTTTTATTTAGTAATGGAGGTGGCGAATCCATATCTAATCATATTTTATAAAGAATTTTGGGTTAAGTGCAAAAAAACCCCCCGATATATAGACTTTGTGCCATATCTAATCATATTATATAAAGAATTTGGGATTAAGTGCAAAAACCCCCCGATATATAGACTTTGTGTCGAACAAGTCCCTACTTTTTGAAAAAGTGCATGCAATTCCACAAAATTTAAAAAAGGTGCATAACCGGTCCCTCTGACAACTTGTTACAAAAAGTAAAACTTTAAACCTCATTTTACCCTTTTGTTTTCCATTTTGCCCCTCACAATTTGTGCATAAAAGTCCCTCAGCATTGTGCATAAAAGGCCCCCAGCACCTAATCCCAATTCGTTTCTCTCTCTTCCATCTCTCTCCTTATCTCTCTCCATGCATGGCTGCTTCATGTCTACTTCAATTCTTGTTTCCCTTTGATTAATTTTTTATTTCTCCATTTCTTCATTTCTTTCTTTATCCATAACTGCACACTATTTATGTTATTAATTATCTCAGAATTTTTTTTCATTTACTCCAAAACATGCCATCATCTTCAAGCTCAAGAAGTCATTGTTACTCATATGGGAGGTCAGTGAAAGAATATTATTGTAAATGTGGAGTTAAAAGTCCTTTGAAGGTGTCATGTACCCAACGAAATCCTGGTAGAAGGTTTTACGGGTGTGCCAACTACAGGACTGGTTCATGTGGTTTTTTGAGGTGGGAGGATGAAGAATTGCCTGATTATTACCGTAAATTGATTTGGGATCTTTTGATGGAGATACGAGAGCTGCGGGACTTACAAAGAGCTGATTCTCCATTAATTGGTCAAGCTCGAACCATGAATGTGAATGATGACAGGCTCTTGGAGATGGAAAACATGATAGCAGAATTAAGAGAGATGAAGCACACATGATATGCCCAACCTAAAAGAAGATGCTTACCTCAGTTTAATGGTTCCATTCTCAATTTTCTTTTGGGGTTCTTTACTTGTGTTGTATTGTTCAAGCTAGTAATGTGAAACATTGTAAACAAAAACATGTTTTGTGGTTCTTTATTTGTGTTACATGTTTGAATGCAAGGCTAACATGTTCGAATGCAAGTCTAACCTGTTTGAAAGCAACTATAACCTGTTTGATTTTTATTTTTTAGATGCAACTACAACCTGTACCACATTGTACCCAACACTGCTCACATACATAAACATTGTACCCAACAACACCCATATACACAGGCCTACTGCACCACTCATTCAATAGTGATCAACCATTCAATAAATGACCAACTATAGCATGCACCACCCATTCAATGACAACATTCAATAAGTTAAATAATCACAACCACTAATAACATAGACATACATAATTTACGCATACATAATTTGCTCCATAGTTCCCAAACAACATACATAGATATTGCTCCACATACAGACACATACATACATACATATATTAAAAACGTACATACATATTGCAGCTCCATAGTTCCCCAACAACACAGCACATACATACATACATATGACAGCTCCATACATACGTAAATATTGCAGCCAGTCAAACAGATATTAAAAACAAAAACAATAGTTGTCCATTTGTTAATCCATGAATCCAATACACAAAAGATTACTTTAGATTTACCATACAAGTCGCATATTGTCCACTAACTGTCCACTAGCAAAAGGCAACACCTTGGACTGAAGTAAATTGAAACTTGGATGAAACAAAGGCAATTGTTTTAGACAGTGGAATCTGCAACAAATAAATGGTACAAGATAATTAAAAATGCCCTAAGCAAGTATGTGTTTTGAATGGAAAAGAAGTAAAATTAAAAATTCATTTACCTAGAACCACTAATTTTGGCTTTCTTGGGTACCATTCCCTAGTGTATGTGGCATGTTAACAATCTAAGACTGAGAAACATTGATAACCTATAAAGATGGTAAAGTTAAAGTTAAAGTTGAGTTGACAACACTTGTAAAAAAAAAAAAAAAAAATCAATGTATATACCTCACTGTTGATCCCATTAGCCATCACTGGGACATCAGTCAAGTTGCCTGTACCAATGTCAACATTTACAGCCCTATGACTGCCACCACCCCTGCCTCTCACAGCACCTCTACCACCCCTGCCTCTCACAACACCTCTACTTCCCATAGCATTGTTAGTCCCAACACCACCACTGCCAGTCCCATGCATCCCCATAGTAGTGCCACCAACACCTCTCAGTGAAGTACTTCCTAACACATTATTACTCCCAAGACTTCTACCAATTCCATTCCTACTCCCAACACCACTGCCTCTCACTCTCACTGAAGTACCAACTCTCACTGAAGTACTGCCCATAGCATTGTTACTCCCAACACCACCACTGCCATTAAGAACAGTTTCAGTAGCCTTTCAAACATGCAATACTCCAAGTTGAGGGTTTTTGGGTCTACCTCCTTTGCTTTTAGGTTGTCCTCTCTTCACTTGTTCATTTTCGCAGGTCCTTGAGTTGTGACCAGTTAATTGACATTTTCCACAAATAAGGTGAGCCCTTTGTTTATACACAGGTTTTTCACTTGATGTACCTTCATCACAAGCTTTCTTCCTCAATTTCTTTGGTCTGCCTAGGGGTTTCCTAACTATAGGAGGAATAATTGGAACCACCCCAGTTACTTCTCTTATATTTCTCAATGTCATTGGATATATCATCCCTGCATATGACTTCAAGAATGTTTCCTTATAAAAGTATGGGTCAACAAAGTCTTCAAGAACTGCCCCTCTTCTCTTTTGTATAGTTGTATATGCATGCTTGCATGAGATACCTGTGACATCCCATGCCCTACAAGTACAACTTTTATTATGTAAGTCAACAGTCTCATTCACTCCTCCATATTCAACCTCTTAAATGGCTTTTCCAGAGAGGTGAGCAGGACAACTCATTGAGTTTCTCTTATTCAGTTTTAGCTGAGCTGCTGGAACTGGACACAATAACCCCATTTTCCCCTCCATGTACTATTTTTTCTTTTGATACCTTCTCAACAAGGACTTTCTGATCATTTCAAGCATGGTGATGATGGGCTTATCTCTGGCCTTTATATGTGTGAATTCCATGATTCACACATATTATTGCTCTTAAGGTCACACTTTGACCATTCTGAGTACTTACACTTAGCCCACAAGTGAGGGGGTATCTTGGCCAACCAATCATATGCATTTGTGTTAATTTCCCTAAATCTCTGCATGTGTCCCTGAAAGTCTGCCATTGTGAAAGAATTTGTTGCATCCCATAACTCTTGCTTCAACTCTGAGCCTGGGAACTTCTTTGTAAAGTTGTCATACATGTGCCTTACACAGAATCTGTGATCTGACCCAAGCTTCTCAAGTGTGTCAACCAAACCCTATAATAAAATCATAATATCAATAAATGAAATTTTAAACTATTCGAAAATGTATTTTAAAGTATCAATAAATGCATTTATACTATCAGTAAATGCAGTTTTAAACTGAAAGTCTGTAAAAGAATTTTAAACTATCTAAAAACTAAAATACTTTTCTAACATACCTTTTTGTCTGTCTGAAATGAATTTTTTTTCTTTGTGGGGGCAAAACAAATCCATGAGGTTATCCAGAAACCAATCCCAGTTCTCCTTTGTCTCTGCTTCCACAATACCAATTGCAATGGGATATAAGCTATTGTCCCCATCTCTACCAATAGCACTTAGTAAATGTTGATTGTAATGAGTTTTTAGAAAGTAGTCATCTAAGCCAATGAATGGCCTACAACCCTCTTTAAAGCCTCTCCACATTGCATTCAATGAGAAAAACAGTCTCTCAAACCTTGTAGACTTCCTATCTGGCTCAAAAAATGCATCAACCCTAGCAACACTTCCAGGATTTGTCTCCAATACCAACTGACAATACTCTCTGATTTTTTAGAATTGATCTACATGTGCCATCAATCATCAGCTGGCATTTCCTCTTTGCCCTATAAATTTTGAACCTACTAACTAGCAGGTTCAAATCTTTAGTAATCTGACCTATAAAACCAGAATTTTTCCACTTAGGGTCCCTCCTAAACTTATGCACATACTTCTTTGCAAGATAAGGAGATGTTGCTAGTCTGCTTATTTGAACTTCAGAGCAGTTATGTTCATCATTGAATGTACTAATCACAATGGCACCATTTGATTTTTTCTTTGATACATGTATCCTCCACCCACACTCATTTCTATATATACATGTGACTCTTTTTCCATCATTTTTAACAAACTTGATATCATATTTGTTCTTGATAACATGCTCTCTCAACACATCTTTGAATTCTACAAATGTAGCAAACTCCATTCCCACCATTAATATTTTTTCCTTCTCTCCCATTTCCCTCCTAGCAATGAATTCTGATTTTTTGCAAGGAATATGTATCTCAT